GGAAATTTTATATTATACAACAAATCAATCTAATGGTATTGCAAAACAGTTGATTTGATACAAAAAACTTTTTTCTCGTTTTCTTCCTTTCCCTTCTTCTTTTGAAGTTATCGTGATACTCTTGTGTGTACGCAAAACACACATACTTACAACCTTTGTTCTGTTTTAATATTTTGATGTACAGGCTTCGAACGAACAGTATATCGTGATATACAAAAATCATGATATAAAAAAAAATACCGATACTATGACTATTTATGACACTAAGCAAATTGGATTATCTAATTAATCTAATACTAATTAATATCGATAAAAATTATGTAACTATAAAATTTCTATCAAAATTATTTTTGCATTCTATACCTTATACTATTTCTTTTAATAATTTAATTGCATCATATGACAAATTATTAAACAAATTCTTAATCAGATAATATGATTTTATAAAATAAACCAAGTTCTTTATATTTTCCAAGGACTGATTATTTTGCCGCTTCTCGGAAAATATAAAGGCAGTCCTTCGAACGATTCTATTTTATTTTAGTTAATCTAAACGTAGCAGGACTTAATGATCAAAATTTATTATAGAAGATCAAATTCTCACGATAAGTAAAATAATAAGAGTCCACAGAATTCGTTGATTCATAGACTTAAATAATAGATATTTCGTTTGATTTTTTAGCAACAAATCATACTTTCTTTGATTAAAGGTTTCTAACGTCTTCATTTTTTGAAACTTCTTGTTTTGAACTAAATGTGCAAAAATATTCGAGAGATCAATAGGCGGGTTCTAAGTATCAGATAATAGAGACTAAAATACGTTAAATATCAAATAAAGACTAAAATACGTTCATTATTTAAAACATATATATAAAATATATTTCTACTTTAGTCATGTGAATTTAAATAAAAAATATAAGCGAAGTCTTATAAAGTAATAATTGGCAGATATTAATTTACTGCTTTTACGAACTGTACTTGCACATAATTATTATCACAATGAAAAAAAATATGTATGAATATCTTTTTTCTTATAAGTTTTATAAATACGGCAGTTTAGATGTGCACGTAAATGATTTCTCATACATTTTGTTATAAAATATATATAACGTAGCATGTATAACTTATTCTTTTTGATTATTGCCAACACGTATTAGTGCATTTAACGGTTTGAAATATATATTGTTTTAAATTTCTTGCACAAAGTCTTAAATATATACTGATGAGTTTCATTATTCAAAAAGTATATGTTATTATTGAAAAATAAGAGTAAGACCGAAAATTATTTATAACTGACAATAACTGAGAACTCGACGTGATTCAATGCTCGACATATCGCTCATCATTAAATCTAATCTGTTTTTTTAAAAGTATGCAAATTTGCGCTAGCTTGTTGCTCTCGACCTAATTTTCTTCCATTAACTACAAGTACAATCGGTGTTTCAACGCGTATAGATTTGTAATCAAAATCCTAAAAAAGAATGAAGGAGAAATGTATTATTATAAGTTTGACAAGATTCGATTCATATCGTAATATGTACACACTGTACACAACACTTACATTACTCATATAGGAAAATTTTTGATGTATAACGAAAGGTTCTGGTATACCAACAGAATCCCCGACCGTAACTCCACGGCCTTTAGCTAGATTATATACAGTAACAACAACACATGTTTTCTGTTCGTCCACGAGACAAAAAGCACTGGAAAAAAAGTAATTGTACAGCTTTAACAAGTTAATGTCCAGCGGAAAAATTTGTGTTATATAGAAAGTAGATAAACTTACAAAGGAACGCAATCCGAATCCTGAATCCAACAAATTACTTTTCCAAATACGACTTTTTCCATGTTCAATCCAAGAGTTAATTCTTGTAACGGAATTAAATCTAATTTTATAGACTTTCCCCCGTATGTGTATGCTCCATCTTTGTATGGTCCTAAGTGTTTAACATCCAATGCCTACATTTAATTATAAACCTATAAATATGTATATTGTGCCAAAATCACATGTTATACTATCATATGTATTAATAACACGTATTAATATATCTAGCTGTTAATTATCTATTACTATTAATTTCTATAATATAAATACCCGTATTAATTGATATAATCGTTTTGGTTTTACGTAACCGTTATTATTAATTGAATTTTGTATATCTTTAAGATATTGTAATAATTCATCACGTTTGTTGCGCGGTGTTTCCCACAATGGATCGAGTGCCATTGCATTTTCAAATGATTGTAACGCTAAGTTATATTCTTCTTGATATTTTAGAGCCTAAAATGAATTTGCAAATTAAAAGGAGTTTCAAGCAGAAAAGAAATATTAAAATAAACATTACAGAAATGTATTCATACTTACTATCGCTTTATTATAAAACAAATCAGGATTACTTCTTGCAATAATATCTTTTTCCTAAAAGAAATTAAGGCTTTAATATATAAAGACAAAATTGTACATTATGTTATTTGCAATAATATGTTTATATAATAAACAAATATTCGTCATCCATCATAGGCTTACCGCTTGCATATATGCCGACATGCATGAACGTAATGTACTCGGACTTTGTGCTACAGTGAAGAAGGAAGACAGATAGGCATTCCCTAATATGGCCCAGGAGATTCCGTCAGTTGTGTCAAGGCTTACAGCCTCCTTAGCATGTTCCACTCCTTGTTGAATATTTTTTATTCGTTCTTCAAAGGATGATGTTTGCTCCTGTCTAAGTACCATCGACAGATTTCGTAAAGATGCTTTATTCCTGTCCTAAAAAAGAAATAAAATATGCTATATATATGTAATGCATAATAATTTATTGTTTAAAAATTTTTTTCTTTTAACTAATGAAAGCTATGTTAAATAAAGTAAGAAAGAAATATACATGTTGCAGAGCGCCAACAAAACAATTCTTTGCTTGTTTTATATCATCATTCTTCCAATAACATTCTCCCAGCTCATTCCAAGCTTCTATTAATTTAGGTTCTAATTTCACTGCTTTACTCAAAAGTTCTTCTGCCTGAGGAATGAAACGGTCCACTACGTTTAGAGCTCTTCCCTTTAAATAATAATACTTTGCACGTGAACCATCAATCTCGTATCCTTTACATTCATCAAACTTGCTCAGCGTATCTTTCATTTCCTTCTCCACGTCAATATTTTTTTTAATCGCTTCATCAATAGAATGTGTCTCAAAATAACGATCTCGAAAGAGATACAAAGCTCTTACCCTTTCCTGGAATTAATAGCAATCAGCAGGTAAAAACAATAATACTTAAATGTGACATATCAATAAAAATTAAAGAAAAAGGAAAGAAAAAACAATGTATAGGAAAGATTTAATGTATTTTACGTACCGTTAACGCTACAATTGGATCTTGCTTGACAGTATTTGAACTCTTCGCACCTGCGACAACTTTGTCATCTATAATTGCGGACATTTTCACGGATTATATTACAAAGCGCAACAAATAAGCATTACTTTATTGTGCGTTACACGCCTTTCAGGCGAAAAATCTTATTCATAATTCGATCGGAATCATACAAGCTCGTTTGTAGCGCGGAAGTAATCATTTGCGAACTGTCAAAACAAAGATGTACAGGTTATAGAGTTCATGAATGGAGCGTGTAGTTTGGAGTAATATGGAGTAATACTACACTCAAGGACGTTTCCAAGGTCTTTTACGATAGTGACTACAACGCCACTTACGGCAAGTAAACATATTAGAATGGATTTCTACATGAATGGCGGTTTGAAATGAATATTGTCTCGCCAGTGGGCTTGGTGAGAACGAATACACAATTCTTGGATCAGAAAATGAATTCTGTAAAATTTATTAAACGTATTTTGAACTACTTTTCTTTTTCTATCATTTGACAAATTTAAAAAGTCTAATTTTGTTACGAATCTCAAGGAGTAAAGGATAAATTAATGCTATCTAAATAAATGTGACAATTTCAATAAAATTTGTGACATTATTCGTATCATAAAATGTCGAAGAACACACGATTTTATTGAGATTTTACAATTTCTTAACATTAAATTTATAATTACTAAGGTTTATTTTCTTTAACATATAAAATTAAATATTAATATTAACAAAGCGGTTTTTTTTGTAAGCAGCATATTACGAGCTACTTATAAATCAGCTGTAGTTGTAAAACATTTATCTTTTTTTTTTCTAGGAGAATAGAGGAAAAAGGAATTTATTTTAGATGCGTACAAAATAATTTTACATGAATTAATGAAAAGATAATCAGAGAACGCAAGTTTATTCTTTTCTTGTTGTTGATTTGTGTTGATTAATTTTTTGTATATAAAAATGGATTTTATATTATTACAATGTAGAAATGTGTATATAAAAATATTATTTCTAAATTTTGTTTCAACATTTTTTATATTATGTACATACATCAAGAGTAAATATTTAAAAGATTTATTATATAAAATATTTATTGCGTTAATTAGCCAGATATATTATACAAATAAGCAATTTTTTAAATAATTTTAGAATTTTCATACATGTCCAAAAAATATCCCTTAATTCGAAAATTATTTAAACTATTTTTTATTGCATGATATGACAATTAAATATCTTTGTAGAAAAACGGTTTTAGTATTATAAAACGGTCTTATCTAAAATTTACAATAATTAGTACGTTATTTAATTAAACAAAACATTGAATGAAGCGATAAATATACTATATAACATTTTTAATATAAGAATCGTTACTTCTATTTATTATATAGAAATTTTTTAATAATATTAGTTTCATATTACTATTTTGATCGTTTCTCTATTAAAATATTGCATTTGATAAATATTTGGCGTTTGCAATATTTTGCAATTATTATCTTAACAAATGTAAAGTGGATCGGTAAAGTGATGCACACACATATAAATGACGTTACGGTTACAAAATATACTCTTGATACAAAATATATATATATATATATATATATATATATATATATATATATATATATAAAAACGCGGTAGTACAAAGTTATACAAATATAATCTCGTAATATCACCTCTGTCATATGTTTTTCCATCTTTTCATTATCACGTACAAAACAAGCATAAAGTTTTCCACTACGCTTTTATCTTAATTCAAATAATGTGGAGAAATAGGACGGATGTATTGTCCGCTGAAAGGATTTATTTTTAAAATACTTTTGCACACTCTCAGCTTGTTAACCCTTTATTTAATTATTCGGTAAAGATGTGCCGTTTGTTGTGACGTACGTGTCGCCGTCGTTTTGTGCACGTGGCGCAACACTTTTCTCGTACGATCGATGATACATCACACATGCGTCTGTAGTTTGCACAAGATGGAACCACGCTATCCTTGCAATCTGAAAGAGATAGGATACGGAGATTTATACGCGGTCACTTGACAAATATAAGAAAAAATTCTTTCAAGCTTATTTAATTGTATTCGTAACACAACTAGAATTTATCTATTATATCTTTTTAACTTATAGATATGTAATATATAAATTTTACATTCACTTATAAAAATATCAATACAGTGACACGATTTGCAGGCGACTATATTATAATTATGTTACGTAAGCATAATTAAGTCAATAAGTTAAAAAAATTTTGTCCTTGTATTATTATAAGAAATATCTAATGTTATAAATGAAAAAATCAATTGATATGAATATTTGATGTGTAAACTTTTAGGATCCATTTAGGCCATTTGTATATGCTAATGATATTTGTTTTTTACGGGTTAAAGTACTTTATAATAAGTATTTATCAAACACGCGAGCGCGTGTTAGGTGCATCACATGCGCATGCAAATCGAGCGACATCGCGTATGATCTCATAAAGCAAGTCGTTACGAACCGCGGTTTCCTCGTATAAATTCTAGTTTCCTGACGCCTTTGGACAAGAGCATATTCCGCAAGTTTGGACAAGCCAAACCATCTGTAACGTAACTAGCATAACTTAGCATTACATGCGGCTACGCGTTCTAATTCTCTCTGTTATATAACTCTGCTAGATTACCTTGAACTTCCATTCAACATCAATTATATGGCGCGACAAAATATGAGAAGAAAAGAAAAGAAGAAAAGTGAACTTAATCTTCTTTAAAATTACATGTTACTTCTTAAATACCGTGTAGAAAGAAATGAATTATTAAAATTGTACGACAATAGCAAAGTCTTTCACAAAGACGCCTGCAAATAATATTGAAAATGTTTTTTAAAGGAGAGAGATTATCGTTTATTTTTCGAAAATATTTTTTATCGAGATCTCTCAAAAACGTTCTTTATACACGTATTGTTCATACTCGTATACATATACCGTAATTACTTTAAAGCAGTTTCTTTCGCATAAAAGCGACATTTTATGAAAGACGCGCGGAAAGCTGTCGAGAGTACATTTTAATTGTGCGAATGAAATTACCATTTTTCTCGTTGGCGCATTGCCGTCGGTAATAACAACGCTTTATATCAAATGGTCTTCTGTCGAGATTGCAATCGTTTGACAACAAGTCCGACGCGCGATCACGACACTGTACGTCTCTGTGTTTAACTCCAGACTTTACGAGGCAAGTCGCGTTGCAACTTCCCCAATTTCCTGGAATTGTAATTAATAAACTGTCACGTAATAATCTTTATAAATATATAACATATTTAGCGAAAGTTTATCTCTAGCATTTAAAAATGATCATATTTTCTATTTTATTTTATGTTTTTTGTCTATATTTTTCAATGAACATTTTATCAAACACACGAATATGCTTTATATATGAGGAGCAGACTTTCTAAATGTATTTTGTCCAAAATATTTGTAATTTTCAGAAAACAGAAAAAGAAAGAATTACGCATGCGAGAAAATTACGGACTTTATAAAAAATAACAATCAATAGGATGTGAAATATGAAACAAAATTGCTATACAATTGTTAAAAATGTTAAACAAATGCATTTTGTTTTTTTCTAGTTAAAAAACATAATACACTTCGAAATGTCTTGTTTTTTTAGCATATAAATTAACGATGAAGAAATGCTTTCTGAACCTCTCAGAGTAGCTTATGATATGAGTGTTTCAACCATTGAACATTATGCTATCTCTAACTAAAAAAATTAAATTTTGAACAAAACGCATTTTGAAAGTCTATCGCTCATATACGCATTTTATAATATTATCAAATAGTAAAATTTTGTAAAATTAATTTTTACTCAATTATACAATTTTATACAATTTTCTTTTCGTATAGTTTCAGTTGAAGAGAAAAGAGAACAATTTCTAATTCCAAAAAAAAAAAAAAAAAATAAAATAAAATAAATATTTCATCATAATAAATATTGTATTATGTATAATAAATCGATACAAAGTATTAATTGATAATTTACCGGTAATCCATTTTCCACTGTAGCAGTCCTCAATACTGGGCGGCTTGTTATTCGGATTACAATCGCCTGGAACGGAGCAGGTGACCTTTCTACTCCTCTTACTATTCGAACAATGGCTCCACTTCGACACTGTCCACTTTGACTTGGTGTTGTACATGGAATTGTCTGGATTCTCGTCAACGACATTGTCGAACTCGAGGATCTCTGGCTCCTCGGTGGTGAGGCCGTCGACTATCGTAATACCGTCCTGCTCGTTCAGGCTGATGTTGTAGAATGACATGTCCTTGTTGTCGGCATACACGATCAACGGTACCTCCGAAGTGGGCCCACACGGCGGTAGATCGGGGCACGGCTCCATTTCTTCGGGCCGCATATGCTTGTCGCAGTCGCGATCGGGCAAAGCCAGGTCTGATCGATCAGTACCCATGCCAGAGAACACACACATCACCGATCTCTTGCGTAGTGCACCATCACCACATGTGACAGGGCACATTTGCCATGGACCTACCCACCATCTGAAACGTTGAAAAAGCTACGAGTGCAAACACTTCCTAAAAAAAGATATATCTTTCTTGTATCTTGATATCAAAAAGTATTTTTATCATTTCGTGTGTCTTCAAATTCTCTAACAATTTGTAACATAAACATGAAGCTAATAGTTTCAATCGTAAAGCGAGAATGCATAAAAGATGCCATTGAAAATCGAATGGAGCTTTATCCAACCGCTTCGAATTTATTTTCGTTTACGAGGCAATGGTATTTCTCAAAGTATGTTGTTACAATCGTTTTATCGGATTCGAAGTTGGTTTACCTCGCAGGACAGGGATTCGAATTGCATTCGCGCGACTTCTGCTCTGGCTTTTCTATACCGTCGCAAAAGAGGTCCTCGACGATGCCGCTTTTTCTTTCGTGACAGACCGCGTGTGAAGTTTGAGTGCCGCCACCACAAGTGACTGTGCAGAGGGTCCAATCGGAGAATACCCACGAATATTCCGGGGCGCGATCAGGCTCTTTTTTCGGTACGGTATATTCATAACGTAATCCGAAATTGCGATATTGACCTCTGTAAATTAACTGAAATAATGAAGATGGATTACTGAGGATGATAAGTGAAAAAATAAAACTGTTGAAGTTTATCGACTCGCAAACTCAGTCGACATCAGTTAAAAATAACATAGTATCAGTGTTATAATTTCCCACTCAATAATTGTATGTAATTGTTACGTAACACCATATATTACATTACATTTATAATGCTGAATGCTAAATTATAACATTAATGCTATGTTAATTTTAATTTGTGTCGATTCAGAATTGGACTACACGTATAGATATACGAGAAAAATGCAATTACGAAAATTTATAAAATAAACATGAAATTGTTTTAATTTTCGGTTGTTAAACAACTATTGCGTTTTAAGCAATTCATGTTGTTAGAATGTACTCACATAGACTGCGATATCTTCTTTAATAGGTCCTGGGATTCTGATCTTCTCTCTGTCTCGATCACGTTCGTAGAGAGCTGGCGTCCCGGCGACTTCATACTCGCCCGCTAAAGTGATCTGCCTGTCCGATCAGAATCTTAGTTTAAGTGTTTCATCACGTTATATATTTCACGATTTGAAAATTTGTTTCATCAAAATCTAAACTACAGTAGATAAATTTTTGTATCGCCCCATAAAACTATATATACAACTTGAGTGTGGGACCTTTTAATTTTTTTTTTATTACAGTAGCCATATATATAAGTTAGCTTTAGATTTGATCTCGCAATTAGTTACTCGCGATAGTTATTCGATAATTTATAATTTTACGGTTGATAAGATATACGCACCGTTTTCCATTCAGGAAATACTTGTCAGAATTCGGCACGCCGATGCCAATATAATTCTTACTATTCCCGACCTCCTCGATTTTAATATTTCGAGAGCCGGAAGGTATGATAATAACTTCCTTATATCCGGGACCCTCGTTTTTGTCGTAAACGCCACTAGTAGTCTCGCATTGAGTACCGTCACCGTGACAAATACCGCAGCGGTCTTCCGTAGCATCGGAATCCACCATCCAATCACAACCGACTTTCTATAAAAGTTGGAGTTATTTAATCTTTAAAGCTTTTTTCCGTTATAAAAAATTGAAAACCAAAAATTTTTAACTTTTAAAATTCTGTTGCAGATGCAATTCTTTTGAAGAACACTGACCCTGCATATGCCAGCGATGCACATGTCCCTGGTACCAACGTTGCATGGAGTACCATCGAGAGCAGCCTCTCCCCAAGGTACGATTACGCTTTCATCTGTATCGGTGCAATAAAGCTCGCAAGGTTCCGCTAAATGGGACGATGCAAATCAAATCTCGCGTCGTAATTAGTGTTTAAACCGCTGAATCATTAATAAGACGCAATTTTCGAAAACCATGGAGTACGGAAATTATATACTGATTGTTTCGGGACATTTGGGACAAACCTCAGAGAATGATAGATCTCGGTAAAATAACTTTTATTAAAAAATCTGTATCCTCCGATGCATTTTTAACGAGCACAGCGTCCTTGTTCGAATCAGTTGTAAGGCACGCAATCGATCGTGCGGCAACATTGCGCGTGACGTCTGAAAATTCTAGTTCACGTTTTTGCTTTTTCTCTTCTCTTTTTGCAAAAACACGATCAAAGAATATGAACGAGATATTGTCGAACGTCACGCGCGCGACTGGACGCGTAGCTCTTAAAAATACGTCGGTGGATGCAGGTTTTTTAAAAAGAGTTGATTTTGTTTTTATACATGAAGAGAATAATTTTGTTAAAAAATTTAAAATTTTCTAGATACAGATCTGAAATAATTCTGTTGGAGCATCAAAATAATTTCGTTGGAAGCTCTAATTGATTGCTGGAATATCAACATTTTTTTACAATATTGCTTATTATTTTTTAGTTTTTAACATAATTATTTTGATATGGCTTAATAAAATTATTTTCATATTTCTTTCCAGTAAAATTTTAAATCTTCCAGCAAAATTACTTTTTGTACGTGTGTGATATCTATCGATCCCTGAAGTCTATCCCAGAGAGCCTGAAGGACCGTATGGTACGCGATCGCAGAGAAGCGTTTCACGTGTCACATAGCGCTTAAAGGTTCACTTACTTTGATCAAAATATGGCAGCCAAGTATAGTTCTTTCCCTTGTACTCTTTGTCGTCGTAGTTGCTGCATTGCACGGCGCGGAAACTCGGCGTGCCTTCCGGACAAGGTTGCGTATTACAGATTTTGTAGCGGCGTCTCTCACCTATGCAGAACTTTCCGCCGTATGCGGGCTCCGGATGATCGCACTTCCTCTCGACAATCGAGACCCCGGCGCCGCAAGTTCTCGAGCACTCGCTCCATAACCCCCACTCACCCCAACCGCCGTCGATTTGCCGCGGTCGATCAACGATGGGCACGCATTCCTGATTTTGACACCACTGCGCAAAGAGCGACATAAACCACTAGATTAGAAAATTCAATATCTTCACTGAACACATTTTCTCTCGGATAAATCTAATTAACTTGAAAAGAGTCACCCTTTAATTATGCAAACGATTACCCAAGGTGTTTTTACACTCTAATTACAATTATTATTATTAATAATATTATTGTATATTATTGATTGTTTTCCGCTTTAGTACTATTCGAAAACATAGAGATAGGAATTTCACGACTTTAAACAAGAAAGTAAATAGAAATCAAATAAAATGAGTATTTTGGGCAGTTTATGGCAGAGTATTTCTAAAAAAAAAATAAAGATTTTAATATAACGCTTTTTTATCGATAGTTCTCTCGATGGAATTGCATATTTCCAGATTCGTAAAGAACAATTATTAAAAAAAGATATAAAAAGATTAAACAGTATTCATACAAAATAATATCTATAACAATTTCTCACTGGAGTATAAAAACATCTCGGATAACTATTCATGGGTTAATGGTGTATATTTTACAAAAAATTGTCTTATAAAAGCAACACACTATTTTAAGAGAAATTCTCGTTACATACCATATGTTTTCCACAATGCGTTCCTGGAGCTGCTGGATGTAGCATAGTAGTGCAGGAGCCGTCCACAATGCACCATAGTTTCGAGCAGATCTGTAATCATAAATGCCGCAGTCATTTAAATCGGCTTGATCCTAGTTGGATTCAGACTGGCCATTTACCATCTTTATGGTCTTTGCTTACTTCCTGTAAAGGGGAGCAGACAAAAGCTTCTCTCACGCCAAACTGGAGTCTGCATTGGTGCTCAGCATTATACATTGCACCGGGTGGCAAATCCGGATATGCGTAATCGTTGTCCGCCGGTTCGTCTTCCAAACAATCGCCTTTTCCTTGGCTGGAATTCGAGGAATCCATACGTGTTACTCTTTTTATTTATATGTAAAAAAATAATTGAATTCATCAAACGTTTTTTATTTACTCCAAAAAATTCGTGATGTCTCTTCTAGAGCATCTAGACCACGCCACTCCAACAGCATCCACTTCAAAGGTCGGCGTCATCACATGCAGAGTGTCACCCTCACGTTTACTGCAGCCAATTTTTTCCGTGTCATGGTACATTCCAAAGCTGAACAGAATATGCGGTAGAACATTGAAAATTGCATATACGTATTTTTTCATAATAAATATTATTATCACGCTTTCATTTTGCACGTGAAAAATGTTTGACTTGATATTTTGTATTTAAAAATAAAGTCCCCTTTCCGATTGTTTTTCCGATTTCGCTTACTTATGCCCCAATTCGTGCGTGATTGTATGCGCCAACGTGATCCCATTGTCCTCGTTGACGCTGCAGCTGCGATCCGGTTGACACATGCCAGCGACGTGAGCCACTCCCAATGTACTGCAAGGAGTATTCGCACGTGAACAAATGTCCTCCCTCGTCACCAGGATCGCCACGTCGTGATGATTCGGGTGCGAATCATTGCTCGGATTTAGTTTCTGCTGCCATTTGCAGAAATTGTATAGGGTCTTATCCGCGTTCACCGTGATGTCCAGTCTTTGCTGGGACAGAAATCGGATTCATCTCGAGTAATTGTTCTATCTATCGATCGAAATGCGCGAACGTAACATAACACATATTTATTACACATATTTATTACACATATAAACGTATGTTAAATTGATTTAAAAGCGACTTTGAACGAATGAAGTAAATACCTCCGGGTCTTCTTCTTCGAGGAGAATAATTCTGACCACCACAATGTTGATGAAATTGCCGATGGTTGGATCGAGGTAAAGCGCGGACACCATGTTCATAATGGTTAGGAGATAGGTTTCCACATCGCCATCCTGGTGAAAAGCCATCATCGTCGTGTCAGCGACGACAAGAGCCTCGACATGACGCGGAGTACTGATCGATCTTTTGGAACGATGCCACCGCTTCGCTTGATAATGTTTCCTTCGCCCACGGCCTTGAACTTGGACGAGGCCTGATTGAGTTTGCCATTCGAGCCGCGTTTCTGTCAATCGACGCGGTTCTGTCGGATATTTCACGTGCTGTCATGATCAATGTAGTAGCTAATTTCTATTTCTTAGTGGCTGTGCTTTTACCGTTAATTTAAACAATAAGAACAGTAAGAATCTTACCGGACCGTACATTTGAAAATTCAATAATAAGAGATAAAAGTAGTGGCCATAATGGTCAAAGCTAGATCTTTAATGCTTGAATAATTCAATCTGAATTATTATTCAAATTGAACTACTCTAGTAATATTACAATTATTAAATTGGCAAGAAATTTTAATAGGTTGAGGCTCAATTAGGCGTCCTATTAGAAAGGTATTAATATGCTGAAAAACTGTATTTAATAAATAAATTTAGTATTTTGATTGCGTTTATAAGTGTGAAAAATTCAGCGCGTAGTTCGAATGACTACAAATACATATTATACGATATATGTACATGCATGTATGTACATGTATATATAGTATAATATATAGTAAATCAAATTGAATTATTTAAGCATTAAAAATCTAGCTAGACCGTTATGGCCATTACTTTTATTTCTTATTGTTGAATCGTTAATTTACTTGTATTTGTGATACTTAATAATTTTAAATTATTTGTTAAAAAGGTACGAGTACTGTGTGTGTGTGTGCTTTTACTTATGTTAATTTACTTGTGGTGTAAATGAATTTTAAACGTTTCTAGAAATATACGAATACTCGTGATTCTTATCAATCGAGCGAGAAAGTAGCTACCATATCATGGAACACTTTAATGCTGCGATTGATTTACGTACTGTGTGTGGTTGTTACCATTAATTTACTTGTGGCACTAATAATTTTAAATGTTGTTAGAGTTGTATGAATACTCATAATTCTTGTCTTCAACTGACGAAGCGAAAAAAGTAGCTACCATAGCATTGAACGTTTCAATATTGTAATTGATTTACGTATTGTGTGTTTGTATCACTAATTTACTAATGGTTCTAATAATTTTAACTGTGTTGCTAAAAATGTACGAATATACTCTTAATCCTTGTCAATCGATCGAGCAAGAAAATAGCTACCATATCATGGAACATTTTAATACTGCGGTTGATTTATGTAGGTTGGTAGATCATAAGTCTACAATTAAGATTTTATGTGATCCGCCCGATAGCTCGGCCGGCTTGCCGAAATGGATACACATTGTAGTTAATTACGGGTTTGCAGCGAATTGGATTATTCCCTCGTGGGTAGTGCGTTTTGCCCTACAGAGAGAGAGAGAGAGGGACGTATCAACTGTACGATCGTACTTTTCTACATATCGACACGCTCATGTTTAATCCGTCGAAATATAGAACGGCTAGCCAGAAGGGCTAGGTGGCTAGGTCGTAAAATTAAAGTTTGTGCCAAAGATTACGTGAGAGCGGTAATTTCGGGTTTTGTACGGCGGCCGAATCAGATTCAGCAAATCGACTTAATTCTCACTATCGTTCGAATTATCGCAGAGATCGGTGGGCCGTTGAAACTTTCGTGCAAGTGTTTCGCTCATATCAGGAAACCTTACGTATCGAGTTTTGGGAAGTGAGATTGTTGTTGAGCCGCAGGACACACCAGAAAGGTACGTTTGTTAGAATCGATTCTAATACCGTTATGATTCTAATACCGCTT